CCTTGTCTCAATTCAGTAAACTCTTCTTCCTTCTGTTGTCTCAGAAAATTTGGAAAGTACTCCACATTGAATGCTTCTAGAAACACCTCCCAAGTGATTGGGGAGATCAGAGCTCCTCTTTTCAATTTCCACCAGCACTCGGGGGATCCTCTTAACATAAATGCAGCCAGTTGTACTTTCTGTTCCGTGGTCACAGTTATCACTTCAAATAATTTTTCTGTTTCCTTTATCCAATTGTCTGCCACCAACGGGTCAGAACCCCCATTGAAGGCAAGAGGGTTTAGCCTTCAGTATTTCTCAATGTTGCTTGTATCCACTACACCTAGGTGAATCCCCTATTGTGGCATTGATGTTGACTCCGCCCGTTAAATTTTATATCCCAGATCATAGTGGCTAGGCTCTCAACTATTCTGCATAGCCGGTTAAAGTCTTCTTGTTGCACGTTGGACTGCCCCACATGGGTTGCAGATGGACCAGTAGTGGGTCTCGACTGTGCGAGAGGAGGCACGACATGGTACGGGGGCGGCCCTTGAAATATAGCGAGTGGCACCTAGGGAAACCCTAGTGCTTGTCATGGGGCCCTTAGTGAGCCCTGTGCCCCCATAGCAGATTCACGACGGGGTCGGCCCCCTTTTTCGTCACCTCCCTTGGTTTACCTGCAGAATAGTGACACCCGTTAGTAATATTCTTAATTTGCTCTGATACCAACTGTAACGCCCTTTTTTTTGTAATGGTATAGTTTACAACAAATCCATGATCAAATACGAAAATTTCATTTCAAGTCAATCATGCACATAGAAACACTATCAAAATCTATTGTTTAGAGTTAGGATAGACCGACAATCATACATGTAACATCACGTGAAATACAACCGTATATACTATCAACAGACATACTATCAACTCTATTACTAACTTTTACACATTCAATTCTGTTAATAAAGATCCTTATTCTGTTGCTCTATATGCTAGGCTCGGAAACCAGCAACTCCGATCCCGACTCCATTCCTACATCATCTGTGAATAATAGAGGGTGAGTTTGAATAACTCAGTACAGTAAAAATTAAGTTACAAATATGATATGCACAAATATGAAATCCAATATTTCTACATGTACCCCGTCACCCAACCTAAGCCTACCTTGTTATCATTATGGGACTACGCAGGATTAAAACGTACCCCAATATCCTAAATATCATGCATACCATGTGTGACCGCCCCCAACGTCACCCCAAGCGTACAAATATTCACACCAGTCACCAGTATCGACGATCATCAATAAACTACCTATCTTTCGACCCCTAATAAGCCACACACACACACACACACACACAGATACCATCCTTTACCGTCACCAATATCAACAGCCAAATTCATTTTCGTCAGAGGCTCCCGACCATCACCACCATCGGCGATCGAATTACTTTTTCTAGGTAGCGACAACCAATATCGGTGTCCCCCGATGCTACCGACTCAACACAATATCATCCTGTCCCTACTCCCCCACCTTATCTTGAAACTTTCTTATACCTTTAACCTGTGTACCTAAACTACACTCGTCTCTCCATAAGACATGCACTAACACTTAACACACTCACACCTGTGTTCCCTTGCTAACTACCAAATTTACAGCAGTTATACCAACCTATATACAACCCACACCCTCACACCACACAGCTACACCACACATCCCCTCGTCCTACACAGAGACACCCCCACACCTCTATTCCGACACTTCATTCCCACGGTCTATGGCTTCTCTTTCCTCCTCCCAATTTTTCTACATCTACACGCACTACTTCCTCCCTTACACATATTTACCTCACTCACCAAATCTCTTATTCTCCCCCCCTCCACGGCCTACCCTAGATATTCCACTCTCAAATCTCGAAATCACCTCACTCTCCTCCCGTGGTCCCCTCCGCAAACCTCAATTTGTACTCACACAACATCTCATCCCTCTCATGAACCTCACTCACACCCTACACACCTTCCCTTCCCTTCTCCCGTGACTTAGCCTCCTCCATACGCCCTCACTCACACACAACAGCTCCTCTCCCTCATAGACCGGACTCACACACACCGCACTCCTTCCTTTCTCTCATCCCACAGCCTAACATCCTCCATACGCCCTCACTCACACACAACAACTCCTCTCCCTCACAGACCACACTCACACACACTGCACTCCTTCATTTTTCTCCTTCCGCAACCTGACCTCCTCCATACACCCTCACTTACACACAACAGCTCCTCTCCCTCACAGACTGCACTCACACACACCGCACTCATTCATTTCTCTCCTCCCGCGACCTAACCTCCTCCATATGCCCCCACTCACACACGACCTCACCTCTCCTTCACAGACCTCTCTTCCACGCCATCTTTCTTCTTCTCTCTCATTCCACGGTCTAACCTCCTCCATATGCCTCCACTTGCATTCACACAACTCGTCCACCTACAGCAAATTTTTAAATCCACATCACTAACAGAAAACTTAAATTACCGTACCTGCCATTTCCATCTTCCTTTCTCTTGCTGATCGCACTGCCACCATCCTCTTTCTTCTTCTCTATCCCTTTTCGTTCCTTTCTGCTTCGACTCTTCTCTTTCTCTTTCTCAAACCTTCTTTTCCCTCCCCGCTCTCTTTCTTCTATGTTTTCTCTTTTCTCTTTCTTTTTCCTCCCCGCTCTCTTTCCCTTCTCTGTTTTCTCATTTCTTTTTCCTTTTTTTTTTCCTCTTTTTTTTCTTTCCCGTCTCCTATTTATACCTCACATGCCTCTCAAAACAACGTCGTTCCCCCCCCCCCCCCTCCTTTTTTTTTCTTTCTTCAGTTACTACAACTATTTATTTTTTGATTTGGTATTTGTCTAATTTTTTTATTAATTTATTTCATATACTCTCAAGTAATATTTAAATTGGTCTCTCTCTATTTTTAACAAATAATACCATAAATTACATATCTCATATTTAAAATTTTTTGACACATTATATATTCTAACAACCAAATCCACATCAGATAATATAATAGATGTTACATTATATCTAACATAGTAGAAAATTTTTTTGCATGTGAATCAATTCAAGCTGGTCTAGTTTAAATAACAAAAATATGTCCACTTAATTCATTATCTCTATCTTTTCATAAAGAGCTTTATTTTTGAGCTTCAACCGTAGTGTCCTTTTCAATTGAATCTAACTGAATAATCTCATCTACACCCTTTGTAACATGTCAACTTATGTGATATTAAAGACAATAAATCATATAAGTTTAAGAATTTTAAATAATATGAATTGTGAAATATAATTTTATATAATTAATTATTTTTTTCTATAACTCATTATTGATATGAGTTAATGTACATGATTTATGGATGAATATTCAAGGAATCAACAACATATATTAAATTTTATATTAATTTACTTTAGAATTGCCTCTCTTTATTCTTTTAATACTTGTATATATTTGTTTAATTATTTATATTAATGGTATAATATTAAATATTTTATTAAGTTATGTATAAATTATTTATAATTCTAATTGATATTTTTTTTTAAAAAAAATTCAGTTTACTTGATCCAAACTGAAACTAACTAAAAAAAATCAGTTAAAATTAGATTAAACCAAACTTAATACAACCAAGTTTTTGACCCATGATTAGGGGTTTTTTGGTCCAGGTCCAACCCGGTTCGAGTCCATCTTGGATGGGTACATACCCTTATGGTCATGACATGTCATCCTCGTCATTTTAAATGACAGATATTTGCCCTTCAATGGTCCAAACCTTATGTCAATGTACAAAAATATATATGAGATCGAGTATTGATTTTTCAAGTGGATGTTTCAAGATCTTAAGTGTTTAATCTCTCATCTCCTTAATATGAATGCAAAACTTAGATTACCATCGATAAAATAAGATTCTTAAGGACCCTTGGTTCATATAAAGGTATAAGCTAACTAAATTTTATGACAAAGCAATCAAGCAACCAAAATCTCCAAACCTAAAATTTTCTCATCTCATTCTCGTTCGGATTAAACTTAGTATATTTTCTTTAATGTGTCATCCAACTTAATAGACGAGAGCTAAAAATTTGATTGCATAATCCACTATAAAAGTTGGTGAAGTTGGTAAAATAGACTGTCAAAATCCAAAATTTGAGAGCTAAGAATAAAAAAATTTGGCCACTATAGTTGAGTGATAGAATGGTAGTTTGGTACTTGGCGTGGGTATTTATTGATTAACCGAAGAACTAATAATTATAGATATAACGTTTACATAATTTAATGTAAACCGGTAGATAGAATAAATAAACATGAAATATATATATATATTTAAAATACGAATAAATCTAAACTGATTCACATATAAAAATATTTTATATAAATATTTTTCTATCATATTAAATAGTACGTGACATTTAACATGAGTGAATGACTTATAAATATATATCACAGACTTTATATGTGATATCTAAAGTTAACATGTGCTAAATATTAATAATGATAAGAGACTAATATAAACACCATTTAAAAGTATGAAATAATTGAAATAAAATTGAGATAAATATGAAATTGAATAGAAATAAATAATATAAGAGTTAAATTTATATATTGACCATTTTTTATATGTATAAATTATAAGTTGGTTAAAATATGTTTCAGAATAATCAAATATGAACAGAAATAAGTTTCTAAAGGTTAATTAATTAATTTTTATGTTTTGTGAATTGAATACATACAAATTTAAAAATAAAGTTAATTAAAAAAATAATTTCACTTTCACGGATCAAATTCACTTTCCGTTGTCGTTTTTCGATTTGCAATTTTAGCATGCAGGCATCAGTGCATCAACAGTTTTTTTTCCCGGGAAAAAATGAAACGGTTTTTTTAACTAACCAACCGCCAGCTTTCTGTTTTCATCACTCAGTATACAACACGTGCAATTTTCAGTCGCAGAGAAGAAGAAGAAGAAGAAGAAGAAGAAGAAGCAAGCGCTTCCATGGCGAGATCAAACAAGAGCATCAAGAACCCTTTCTTCACAATCACCCCGCCACCATTCTTCTACCTCTTCACCTCTTCCCCATTTTCCTCACTCCTCTTCTCCCCCAAGAAGGGAAGCCCTAGAACGCACCATAATAAACTCTGCATTCCACCAGCCCTTTCTCTTTTCTTCCTATCTTTCCTACTTTCCTTCACTTTCTTGGGAATTTCAGTCCTTAGCTTCACAACCATATCTCAACGTTCATCTCCATGCTCTCTCATATCTCCTTCATCGGATTCCTACTCTTCGATTGCCTTCGCTTCGCATTCTGCAGTTGGTTCTTCCAACGAGAATAAGCCGAAGCTGGGAAACAGCGCAATGATCCCATTGCCTGCTCACGTGATTGTAGGGAATGTTTCACAGGAAGAAAAAGAGTTCTGGCGGCAGCCAGACGGGGGAGGAGGGTACGCACCGTCCTTGGATTTCAGTATTGGGTATCGGAAAAGGTCGGCGAAGATTGTGAAGGAGAAGAGGAGGTTCTTGATGGTGTTGGCTTCTGGGGGTTTGTACCAGCAGAGGAATCAGATTGTTGATGCTGTTGTTATTGCGAGAATTCTTGAAGCGGCGTTGGTTGTTCCAGTTTTGCAGGTTAACATGATTTGGGAAGATCATAGGTAAAAACAAAAAACCAGACACAAAAAAGGGTTTACTATCTTTGAATGCAGATGAATAAAGTGTTGTTTGCTTTCTTAGAAAATTTTATGGGCGTGTACTGAAAATTCATTTGGTATCTCCATTGGGTTTGAAATTTGGAAGATAGAAAATAAGTAGAAAAAATTACTGTGATTCAACACCAGTTTATAGTCTTCTTTGTTGAAATTGCAGTAAGTTCTCAGACATATTTGAATGGAGATGAATAAAGTCTTGTTTGGTTTCTTAGAAAATTTTATGGGCGTGTAATGAAAATTCATTTGGTATTTCCTCTGGGTTTGAAATTTGGAAGATATAAAATAAGTAGAAAAAACTACTATGTAATTTAACACCAGCTTATTGTCTTCTTTGTTGAAATTGCAGTAACTTCTCAGACATATTTGATGTTGAACACTTCAAACGGACATTACAAGCTGATATACGAGTTGTATCATCACTTCCCTCCACACATTTGACGTTAAAGCAATCAGTGGAAAACCAGATTCCTTATGATGTTTCCCCGCTTTGGATCCGTGCCAGATTCTTCAGACAAGTAAGTCAAAGGAGAAGCTTGATTAGTACACTTTCATGTGACTGTAAACTGCCTGAAATCAGGAAAAAGTTAACTCTATTTGGCTTATCAAGAAAGCTTTCAGTTTGTTTTTCATGAAAGCTTCAAGTTGAAGATATACTAGACTTGATGTAGAATTATGGAGAGAATCATATTTTCTCATGGCTATTTCAATTTTTTGTTCCATGTAGCTAAATGAGGAGGGTCTTCTGGTAATGAAAGGGTTGGATTCTAAACTCTCCAAGAATCTTCCACCTGACTTACAGAAGCTGAAATGTAAGGTATATTCCCAAAATAAAAAACAGCCCATGTCAGATTCGAAGGATCCATATATTGGAAGAACCCATAAATATACTTGATTCACTTTTAAGTTATACCACTCACACATTCATAGAGTCTTCTTAAAAATTACAAATGGTTGGCTTGATAAGTTTAATCTTCTGGTTCTCCCACTTCATATTGCAGGTAGCTTTCCACGCATTAAGATTTGCAGCACCAATTCTTGAGCTCGGTAATAAACTTGCGAGAAGAATGTGGATAGAGGGACCTTATATCGCTCTCCATCTCCGCTTAGAGAAAGATGTGTGGATTAGAACCGGATGTCTCTCCGGTTTAGGACTGGATTATGATGGAATCATCACTAGGACCAGAGAATCTCAACCTGAATACCTCACTGGAAGAGTAAACATGAGCAATGCTCAGCGTAAATTTGCTGGACTTTGTCCACTTAACACGCAAGAAATGACCAGGTAAATTTAGAAGATGGATTCCAAATGTCCAATTTCTCAATCTAAAATTAATAACATTAGTTGGAATACTGTAAAATGTGATTTCTAATGCAGGCTATTGAAGGGTCTGGGTGCACCAAGCAGTGCACGAGTATATATCGCTGGAGGAGAGCCATTGGGAGGGGCTAAGGCTCTGGAACCACTTGCTAAGGAGTTCCCAAATTTAGTCACAAAGGAAATCTTGGCACATAATGGAGAACTCTTACCATATGCCAATAAGAACTCTGCATTGGCTGCCATTGATTACATTGTTTCGCTGAGCAGCAATGTGTTTATACCTTCCCATGGCGGAAACCTGGCTCGAGCCATGCAGGGTCACCGAGCTTATGTTGGTCATAGGAAATTCATAAGGCCCAACAAGCGAGCAATGTTTCCATTCTTTGAGGATGACTCCATTTCTGAACCAGAGTTCAGATATGTTGTCAAAAACCTACACAACAAATATCAGGGGCAGCCTGAGCCAAGGAATAACAAGAGAGACCGAGATGTGATTGCATATCCAATGCCTGAGTGCATTTGTAAGCGGGACAAAGGCATTCTAAATGCAATTCGATGAGTATATGCTTATACTGGACTCGTCTCTACATATTTCATTACAGTTCTAATCATGTAACCAAATTCTTTTGAAGATGTTTGTATAGTGCAATACTGATTTTGCCTAATTAGAAATGTCTATTGACCATCTCCTTTACTTTGATCTTGGTAAAACCTACTTTATATTTCTACTAATCAAACAATAGTAATATATATCTATGCTAACCATAAAAACAGGATAAATAAATAAATACAGAGATTTAATATGTCTTCTCTCTCATGCCACACTAAGTCTCCTGCAAATGGCAAATGTGTAGTTGAAGCTTGACAACCCCCCCAAAAAAAAAAGAACTTTCTTGCAAGAACATTCTTGTTAATAGATATTTTTAGTGTATGCATTTTCAATTAATTTTTCATTCAATATTTTGGTTGTAAAAAGGTACATTAAAATAAATTTCTAAATTTTAATATTATATCAAAGTATAATAGAAAGTGTGTATATGTATTGTAATGATGAAACTCTTTCCATACACAGAAATTAAATCTATAAATTTACATTGTAATAAACTCTTTAAATGTGATAAAATTTAAAACATTTCAAATTTCAACGACATATTAAGGGTATCTAAATTAATTTTGAAAAAAATTGTAACTGCCACGTAAACTTCTCTCATGTTTCTAACAAATTATTGCCATCTCATTCACGTTATAACGACTTCCACCGTTGATTCAGTTTAATTTAATTTATGAATTTATAATTAAATTTAGGTTTATTTTTTAGTTTATATTTTTTTAAATAAAATATATATAAATTTGAATTTATAATTAAGTGAATAAAATGAAATATTAGAAATAGAGATTTAAATTATATTTAAACATAGTTAAGGAAAAATTTTACTTAAATATTTTAGAAACTTATAAATATTATGATAAGATCAAGCTGGTCTTTGTAATAACACATGTCCAGTCTTTCTGGGCCTTTATAATGGGCCAGGAAGTAAAATGGCTAAATCGGAAATAGCAAAGAAAGAGGAAATATTGGATTAAAAAAAAAAAAGAAAGAAAAACGCGTCTTTGTATTCTGGAAGACGACGGAATTGGGAACCGACTAAAGTTAGTGCGTCTATATATAATAAGATCGAGAGAGGTACCAGCACACGTAACAATACGCGTTTTCGGCGAGAGAAACATTGAAGCCGTTCGTTCTTCCGAGTCGAGTCGAGTCGATTCAATTCTGTTCAATTCGATCATCGCGAATCTTCTCTTTTCTTCTCGAGATTACTCTCTGGTAAGGTCTTTCATTACCTGTGAGCAGACAAGGAGAGGCAGCCGAAAATATAACGTCGAACTCTTCTAGGGTTTTAATTGATTGTGATCTACTTCTTTACTTTATTGCGATTCTTTCTCGATTGATCTCTGAATATTTTCTGCTGAATTTTTCGATCTGTACGTTGTTTCTTGATTCACCGATTTAGTTTGTGATATCTGAGATTTCTGGGGTTTGACTTTGGAATATCAAGAAGGTGAAAGGAACTTAAAAGAAAGTTGTTGAGTCCATTATTTCTGTTATCTTTTTGGGGGTTTAGGGTTTGGAGATCTGTTTTCTTTGGTTCTTGTTTTTGTTTTTCTTTTTAGTTTTTTTTTGTTTTTGATTGTGAAGAGTTGTGGTTGTTAAACAAATGGCGGCAGGGCGAGTTGATGTTTTGAGAAGAAGTGATTTCTATGGCCACCCTAAAAAAGAATACAATCATCTTACGAACGGTGCTCGTGGTTTGAAGTCAAGCCGGGGGCAAAGTAACGGTAGAAAGCATGTATTCAATACATCCCCACCTGAGCATAACTTGGGTGTCAAAGAAAGGGATGGGTACCGAGTTTCCCCTAACGAACTCAATATCAGTTACCAACGAGGTGAAACACAAACGGAGAGAGAGGTTCAATTGCCTCCTCAAAAGAAAAGGAAGTTTTCCCCAATTATATGGGACTTGGAAGACAAAGGAGTCAGAATCTCTTCTAGGAACATGCTTGTATCTTCAAGTGCCACTTTGTCCCCACCAAGACCGGATGGTGGTATGGTGGACATTGTCTCAGACGAGGGTCGTCTCGAATGTCCAGTCTTAGAGAATCAGGTGCTTCAATCAGTTAAGCCTCACGACCCTGAGTCGTTGGCACTTGTGTTATCTCCATTGCATCAGGAGCAGAATGCGGTTGATAAATTTGAAGATCAGATGGAGGAAGAAGAGCTAGTTCAGGTACCTAATATTGTGACATCAAGGTGGGCATCGGAGATTGATTCTCCAAAAGAAATATCTTCATCTGATAGTAAACAGGGCAGGGGGAGTTCCACTCCTGAGAGTGGGGAGTTTTTGAGGGAGGACTCTGAAGGACATAGGGCCAGATCATCTGGATCTTATCAAAGGGATTCATCTGCAGGAGATGAATACTCAGAGTTTGAGAGTGGAAATCTTATAGATACCGATGATAAACAGGGGGAGAGTACTTATGTTGACGAGTCAGACTCAAATGCAGAAGAAGCTACTGCTCTTAGTCAGGGAGATAGAAATTTGTGGCATGGTAGTAGAAGTGTATTTGAATATGAGAAGTTGAATAAAATAAATGAAGGCACTTATGGAATTGTGTATAGAGCCAGGGATAAGAAGACCGGAGAAATTGTGGCCCTGAAAAAGGTGAAAATGAATATTGGAAAGGAAATGGAATATGAGTTTCCATTGACTTCTTTGAGGGAAATTAACATTCTTATGTCCTTTAATCATCCTGTGGTTGTGAATGTTAAAGAAGTGGTGGTGGATGACTCTGATATTGTTTTTATGGTCATGGAGCATGTGGAACATGATATTAAGGGGATAATGGAGACAATGAAGCAGCCTTTCAGTACTAGTGAAGTCAAATGCCTAATGCTACAATTATTGGAGGGTGTAAAATATCTTCATGATAATTGGATCATTCACAGGGATCTGAAACCATCAAATCTTCTTTTTAACAACAAGGGCGAGTTGAAAATATGCGATTTTGGCATGTCACGTCAGTATGGGAGTCCACTCAAGCCTTATACACAGTTGGTGGTTACACAGTGGTATAGGTAAGATGCTGAGATTTACACTATTTTTGTCGATTTAAGTAGCCTGGATTAGGCAAATATTGCTTAAACTAGTGTGTAAATGTACTTTCTTTGCACTTTTTTTGCTGATGTAATTATGTTAACATTGCAGGGCACCTGAACTACTACTAGGAGCAAAACAGTATTCAACAGCGATTGACATGTGGTCAGTTGGTTGTATAATGGCTGAATTATTATATAAACAACCGTTGTTCCAAGGAAAAGGAGGAAGTGAAATTGATCAGCTTCATAAGGTAATTGTTGGTTGTCTTGAGCTGGTACCTATGGTCCTTTTCTCTTGCTGATCATGTTGTCATTTGAAACTGTTGCAGGTTTTTGCAATTCTTGGCACACCAAATGAAATGATTTGGCCTGGGTTATCAAGATTACCAGGAATCAAAGCTAATTTTGTTAAGCAACCGTGAGTATTACATAAAGAACCATATATTTTTTTGGTCATGAAATGATTCATGATGGGCAGATCATCAGTATCTGTCCTACCTGGACAGAAGTTTCTACACCAATATTCAGTTGTTGATGATCCTTCTCTTTTCTTTCTCTTTGGATCCAGGTACAATATGTTGCGCAAGAAGTTCCCTCTCACTTCTTTCACTGGCTCTCCAGTTCTATCTGATTTGGGATTGGATTTGTTAAACAAACTTCTTACTTATGACCCTGAGAAGGTAATCAATGATCTCTAGTTGCTTGTATTTTCCCTTTAGTGTATAATTTGATTGTGAAAGGCAATTATGCTAATGAAAAGCTTTATCATTTGCTTGCAGCGAATAACAGCAGATGCTGCTCTTGATCATGATTGGTTCCGTGAGGTTCCTCTTCCGAAAGCCAAAGAGTTCATGCCTACATTTCCACCAAGGCATGCCGGAAAAAGGTAGAAGAGTAGCTAGAAGCCTTGAACAGCTCAGGGAAGTCATCAGCGTTTTTTCTCACTTTGCACCATAGCGCTCTGACATTTTGTTTCGTAACTACCTTTATGAGAAAGTCTTGGCAGCTCGTGGAAGTCACCAACATTTTTTCACATTGCTATTATTGCTTGTTGGCATATTGTTTTCTAATGTTTAGAATGATTTTTAAAAAGGGGAAGGGATTACGAGATATTATGCTGTCTTGGCAGGCACATAGATGATGTGCTTGTTGCATGGAGATCAAATTCCAGGATCTATTAAGCCTGCTATGGTGGACCATAAATGCTTATGGTCCTTTAAGCTGCAAGGTGTGGGGTCTTCTCTTTGATATCTTCTTTTGTCCAATATTTGTTGGTTTCAGTTGTAACTTCTGTAAATATTCTCAGTAACGGAAAAAGGAGATGCTCGACTTTTACAACTTTACCTATTTATTCATTTATATCAATGAACTCTATTCACTCTATTTCTTTAAATATTTTCCACCTTATTTGCAAGAGATAATTGATCTGAACAAATGAGGATCTCTTTTGATTTCCCTCTCAATGGATGGAAATTACAGATGCAAGGTACTTTGACTTGAGAATCTCCATAAGTTCATTATGATGGTTAATATCAATCTCTTTATTCTTATGAATGATGGGCTATTTACATTTTAGTTCTTTGCGCAATGCAAATCTTGACAAAAAAACATCCAGTCACAACATTGGTGTCATTTAATGACTAGTCAACTCCAAATCTTTTTAAATTTAAGTCGTGTGTCTGAAGCATTTCAAGTTCACATACAGTCTGGAGAATACAACAATTTCTATCATCACAGGCGTACAGGAAATTTCTAAGTTCCTCAGCGGTCTGCAGGTGTACAGTATAGCATCCAACAACTTGAGAACTTGTCTTGAGAACAGGTTTAATATGTTACTAGTAGCTGGTCATAGCCAAGTGCAAGATCTAACTAAACTGAAATCTTTGTTAAAAATAAAGTATTTCCAGATTATATTAATGGTGACATACTAGGATATGATACTATCTATCAATTTGACCTCCAGAAATTTAAGTTCCATCTTTTGCCTGCAGGCATACATTGCTTAATGAGTATTATAAATAGAAAGAGGTTAATTACATTGCTCGTAGCTGGTGCAGGTTCTGTATGTTTAAATTTTTACTCTCGTTATGACTCTGTTCTTCCCCTGTTAATTTCAAGGGTTTAATCGTGTCTCGATTCTACATAACCTATGCGTTCACTTTGCCTGAACTGACTCTGTTAGCTCTTCTATCATCTCGGAGGAAGTTACACTTTTTGTTAAGGTTCATGCTGTAGATGATTGAAGAACTAGATGCATATATGGAGCAAGTTACACTTTTTAATGAGATGCAGAAGCTGGAATGATGCTATCCTTCTCAATTCTGGTCGATGTGTGATTCTGGGGTTTAGTTTCTTTATGTTTCAATCTAATTTTTAATTCTCATTTTATAAAAGAAACACATATCTTTATGTATGAAAATATGTAAGAATTGCATATTCATAGAATAAGTACAGTTGAAGCATAGTAGTATCCTAAAAATCCTAAAAATCACTAAGAACGGTTTTTAAATTTTTTAGACTCTATTCTTGTCTCGTCAGTGTTCTCTTTAGTGTTTATTTTGTGAATAAAATGCATATGAATGCCGAAAATGAAAACGAGAAATACTTGCATTGATCAAGAATCTTAATATCTTTAACATCTGAAAATTGTGGTGTTTTATTTATTGAAATATGTTCTTTGCCGAATGATTAGATATACCAGTCGGTGGGGACAAGGGAGTGGCTATAGAAGTGAAAGATTCCTATGTACCTGACAGGTACGTTAATATGTTAGAATGAGGGTAAGATTGTTTTAAGTTGCAACCTAGAATGGCTCTCTCTTGATAAGTTCATTGATGGCGGTTGCTTATCACTTCACGGGTTAGTGACTTGTGGGTGGATGTGAACTTAGAGGCTGATTTCGACACTACGGTGTCTTACTTCCATGTGGATGCTCGTCTTTTATAGCTTTTGGGTTCCTTGAGTATCCTGTCCTTTTTTTGTGAATTTATCGTGTCAACTTTTGTGCAATAGATAAGTTATGCCGCAGATGCCGCCATGCAATGGATAGGTTCTCCAGTTTGTGCTTGATACTTGTTGTGTTTGCTGGAGGAAATTGCAGTAGACCTGTGGAGGGAAAAGAAGAAAGCTTTTGTTAACTGTTTATGTGTTTTGTAATTCATGTAAGGATGACAATTTGGTCAAGGATTGGTTGAGGTTATCGTGTGGGTGATGTTGAATTTGAAGACATGGCAGACCAGTTGAGTACTTATTGGTGCCCGATCATAATAATCAGCTGGTTACCATCTATTTGCACCACAAGAAATTTAGGCAGCATGCTGGATTTGATAATTATGGTTTTGTAATGTCTTCATTTTACTTGAATTCGACTCGGGTACTTTTTCTATTATCTTATAATCCTTGATTCTCCAGGCAATATGTTTGTGAGGTGCTGTAGCCGGATTGTTGGGAAAGAAAAGGATGCTTATTTGGAGCAAACTGAACTTCTCATTGAGATGCACAAGTTGAAATAAGATCAAAACTCAACTCAATGTCTTAGATGCTGTTTATTTCCTTCATGATTCCCGGTAAAATTCTTGATTTTCTTTAGGTTGAAATTTATGTTGATTTATCAATGCATATGACGTCCCACCAGGAGTGGAGTGATAGAAGCAAAGCATGTGTATGACTGGTATGTTCTTTTAATTACATGTCAATAAGATTATTAATTGCAACATACAAGCAGCCTCTGTGCGGGGGTGAAGGTTGATTTCGAGCAACTGGTCTCAAGTGTATTCTGTTTCATCCCAGTGTGGACGGTGGTCTTTTCTGGTTCAGTTCCCTGAGGTCTCTCCCTCATTCTTTTTTTCATTTGAAATTCTTAAATTTGATCTTGTCAAGTTGTGTTAATAAACAGGTTATGGGTTATACACATCATGGTTCATTGTTGGAGATTTGACCCATTTGACTAGGGCAAACTGTTCTGCTCTTTGCTTGTAGGTAATCAAATTAGATCACAGGAATGAACTGATACAGATGATAATATGGTCCAAATTGGTCCAAGCTAACTCATGAATGATGTAGTACTATAGCTCTGGAAAGTATTCTATACAAATCGGATTAGCATTACGTCATGATACCAAGCCAGTTGTGTAGGCACCAACAAAGTAGTCAGCTAATTACGATTAATTTCCTTTTGCTTGATTTGATTCTGATAGCTCTTCTTTCATTTTGTAGCCCTATATTTTCTCTCCAATTTGTTTGTGACCCGTGCTGCAGCTAATCGTTGAAGAAGAAAATTTATATTGAAGCAAACGGAACATTGATATGCACAAATTAAATCAAGAAAGAAGGGTTTCTAAATTCTACATGCCTTGAATGTGATTGCCTAAATAATCAGATGATGCAAAATTGTTGAGGCGGTAGAGGAAAAAGATTCCTGTGTAGATGACTAGTATGTTTTGTTAATATATTCAGAAAAGGAATAAAATTGCAAAAGTTGTTCCATTGCAACTTGTAATCTTCTATTTCCTGGTAAGTTTGTTGGCAAAGGTTGTCTAACCCT